GTCTACACCTATACCTCAAACGCGCCACTCACCTTTTTCCTTTCAGTTTCTTGGATTAACCTCATCCTTCATAAATCCATCCATCGACACATCAACCTCCCAAGTATCTGAAAAACATTCACTTCTTCCATACTCCTCTTCCCCAATTTAATATCCAATTTTTCTTTATCTAATCATTTTGATACCCTCTTCACCTTACTTTTTCTATGTTCGCTTTCAACTTTCTACCTTTACACTCACTCCAAATCGTCCACAACCTTTGCAATTTCTCCTTAGAAACTCCCATAAGCACAGTATCATCAGCCAAAAAGTAACTGGTCAATTCCCATTTTTGTATTTTATTTCCCCATAATATTAAATCCCACCCCTCTCATAAACACCCTAGCATTTAACTTCTCTTACAACCCCATCTACAAAATATATAAACAACCATGGTGACATTACATATCTCTGTCTATAGACCACTTTTACCGGGAAGTTAGTTCCCCCTCTCTTATACACACCCTACTGAGCTCGTAGCCTCATAAAACTTTCTTCAGAATTTAGGATAACTTACTACTATTTCATTATACTTGAACATTTCTGCACAGTTCATCCCCTATCCACTCTTCCAAAGCCTTTTCTAAATCCATAAATGCAATAAAAACTTGCTTACCTTATCTAAAGATGGTCACATATATGCTCAATGTAAACACTTGTTTCTTACACATCCCCTACCCACTCTGGAAACCTCCTTGTCATCCACAATCCTACATTCTGTCTTGCCTCTTTATTTATTTAATATAACCCTACCGTACACTTTTTCCTGGTATGCTCAGTGAATTATACTTTCTATAATTTTTTTCGTCTTTTTGTCCCTCTTTCCCTTTATTATAAAGGAAACTATAATGCTTTCTGCCAATCCCTAGGTCCTTCCCTCTTTCGTAAATTTATTGACCTTTCAGGGTTCTGAAGTACTAGGTACGGCTTACGCACCGGTTATGTGACGTACCTAAAACGCCTAAATTCTACCACTTCAAATCTAGAGAGAGGAAAGCTGGAAGGACTACATATGAAAGATGGGTCTATGTGGTCAGTGTGTCAGTATAAAAAAATCCTGCAGCACTAAGTGAGTAATGAGAAAAAAAAACTTTGACGTGTTTTTGGTTTAAAACAGCGGACTTTGCACTGTTTTTTTCATATGGTATTTATGGTTGTACAGTTATTCTTGTTTTCCTGGTCTCATTTTATAGAATGGAAGACATATTACAGAAAATTTGAGATGATTTTGAAAAATTTTTATTTTTATTGGGTTTCACAATGAATGGACATTGAATTTTTGCTCAGTAGCAGATTGTTCGATTTTTACCAAAGTTCAAAAGTAAACAAATCATTCCAAGTGTCCAATGCACGTTATTGGATTGAGTCTAATATTCTTTACCAAGTTGGGCTGATATTATTTTATACACTAATCCAGTAAGTCTGCATAACAGTTAAATCTTTATTTTTTCGAGAATAAAGATTAAAAGTGGAAAGCAAAAGAAAGTAGCGGGGCCGGGGACATGACTAACGAACAGAGCAACTAGTTATTTTAGTGCCAGGAATGTCTGTCTTGTTTATTCTGGACCCTATTTGGAAAATTGGCATCTTCTGAAATTTGTGTGAAATTGGCAAAATTACCAATTTCTACTTTTAATTGTGATAAGTTTGAAATTATAAATGGGTGGTTTCTTGTATCATTTGTAGTGAAATAAAAAATGATTTTTGTCAACTGAGTACACAGGAAATTGGTCGAAAATAGCGATCAATGTGGTGAAATGCCGATGCATAAACATTGTCGAGACGCTAACTTCTACGAGAGCATAAATTTCCGTAAGTTTTTCCATCATATTTCATTCTTTTGGTGTGTCATATGAACGGGATAGATTCTCTATCATTTCATAAGAATTTTTTTTTTTTTTTTTACGGAAAAATTTTCGACCTGAGGAACTTGTTTAGGAGAGGGCCTCTCGAACTGTAAGGGTTTTTAAACAAACATACCAACCACTCTAACACTATATCCCCCCATGCTTTTAACATTTTGTCATGATCCCATCAGTGCCAGTGCTTACCCTCTTTCACTCTTATACGTAATGCCTTGCGCACTCCCCACACTCACATCCTGCTCTTTTTCATCCTAAAGATGCTAGACCTTCCTGGCCAATGCGTGATTGAAATTTACCGCCCCCCCCTTTCTTTTGACGTCGACATTTTAAAGTTTCCTCAAAATATTTCCGCAATCTGTCAATACCTCCATCTTTAATTCTGTCGTGTTTCCACTTCCTTTACAAAGGGTGGCACTAGCTTTTCTTTCGGTCCATAGTGGTGTAATTAGTAGTTGCAGCACTAAATGAATGAAATATTACAAAATGTATTCATATGAATGCTTGGGATCATGCTCACACGCTGATAAACAATGGGGACATACTGTGGCTGTGTTGGGGCCCCTATACGTGTTTGGGACGATTGGACTGTTTGCGAGTCAGGATGACAATATTTTGTGACGTCAATTATTTTTGATGAAAGAATGTTTATGATTTTCGAAATAATTACGACTTCCAGTGCTTACAAAGAATGAGGGTCCCCTGTATATATTATATTATACAGTGGAAACTCGGGTTCCCTTGAACTTAATTCATTTCCAGAAGGCTGTTCGATTGCTGATCTGTTCAAGTACTGAACGAATTTTTCCCAGTCATTTTTATTTCTGGTTGGTGTTTTCACTGATCTTTGTAGGCTCCTGGTGACTATTTATAAAATAAATAAAACACCAAAAACTCAAAGAAATTCATGCCGCGGGTTCAATCCGGCAGGGGGTATGGTATACTCAAAGGAAATAAGAAATACTTTAGAGCGAAGTTCTGACAGGTCGTGTTTGTTTGTCGAGTGCCAAGGCAAAACAGTTGACTACCGAGTATTTTTTACTGAACAAAAGCATTCAAATAACGAATTGTTCAAATAGAGGGGGTGTGTTTGAGTACTGAGGTTCCAACTGTCTATTTTTTTTTTTTTTTTACACATAGGCCATTTACCATTGTGGCAGCGGGTTGATCCGAAAAATGGAAAAAAAAAAAAAATTTTTCTTCATCATTCAACACTTTCACCATCACTCATACATAATCACTGTCTTTGCAGAGGCACTCAGATACAACAGTTTAGATGACCCTCCAAATGCCAATATCCCAAAACCCCTCCTTTAACCCTTTATGGTCGAGAGGGCCCTCTCCTAAATTGTTCTCCGGGTCAAAACAAATTTTCAGAAAAAAAAACATTCTTGTTGAAATGAATTAGAGAATCTTTTCCGATTCATAAAGACACAAACGTATGAAATTCTGATGGATAATTACGGAATTATGCTCTCATAAAGTTAGGCGGTCTACAATGAGTGTTACGCTATCAGCGATTTCGCCCACTTTGAGCCCTATTTTCAGCCAATTTTGTGTATAGGGGCGGGCTGACAAAAATTTATTATAACTATTTCACTAGACTCCAAGGTTTTTTTTATCGAATGTGTACAAGAAAACACCCATTTACTGATTTCAAACTATCCACTCAAAGTGGTCCAAAAAGTGGTCACACATATTTTCAAAAGATGCAATTTCCAAATAGGGTTCCAGAATAAACAAGCAGACATTCCTGGCACTTAAATAACCATTTCCTCTGTTCTTTAGGTCATGTCCCCAGGCCCCTCTTACATTTCTTTGCTTTCCAATGTGAATTTTTATTCTCACAAAATATAGGATGATTTACTGTTTTATGCAGCTACTTCATTAGGTAGAGAAATGGTATAAATAATACAGCGCACTTGGTGAAAGTCTATTAGGACTCACCACTTGACGTGTATTGGACTCGTGGCATGATAAGTTTTACTTTTGAACTGTGGCAAAAATTCAAACACTTTGCTAGGCTTGAGCTTCAATTTCAAGGTACTTTTCATTGTGAAACATCAAAATCATCTAAATTTTCTGTAGATGTCTACATTCTATTTAAAAATGAGACAAGAAAACTATAATCAACATAAAATATCATATGAAAATAACTGCAAAGTTGCTGTTTTACACCAAAAACACAAAGTTTTTTCTTATTATTATGCACTGTGTGCTGCAGTATTTTTTTTTTTTACTGTGCACACTGACCACATAGACTCATTCTTTCATATGTAGGCCTACCAGCTTTCTCTCGCTAGATTTGAAGGTGCTAGAATTTACGCATACATACTAGTACATACGTCAATAACCCTGGTGCGTAAGATGTACTAGTACGTTGGAAACCCTGAAAGGGTTAAAGTGCAGGCATTGTACTTTTTACTTCCAGGACTCAAGTCCGGCTAAACGGTTCCTGAATCCCTTCACAGAATATTACCCTGCTCACACCCCAACAGCTCATCAGGTCCCAAAAACCATTAGTCTCCATTCACTACTATCTAACATGCTCACAAACGCTTGCTGGAAATCCAAGCCCGTCACCCACAAAACTTTACCCCTCCCTCCAACCTTTTTGAGGACGACCCCCACCCCGCCTTCCTTCCCTACAGATTTATACACTCTCCATGTCATTCTACTTTGATCCATACTCTCTAAATGACCAAACCCTCTTCAGCTCTCTGATAATACTTTTAGTAACCTCGCACCTCCTCCTAATTTCCACACTGCGAATTCTCTGCATAATATTTACACTACACATTGCCCTTAGACACGACATCTCACTGCGTCCAGCCTCCCCTTGCTGCAGCATTTAGAACCCAAGCTAAAAGAGTGTTGGTACCACTACACTCTTGTACATTCCCTTCCCACCTCCAGGATTCAAGTCCGGCTAACTAGTTTCCCCAAATCCCTTCATAAACTATCACCCTGCTCACACTGCAACAGTTCATCAGGTCCCAAAAAACCATTCCGCTCACACGTGCTGTATATATTATATATAAAACTTTAGATGTGCAAAGAAAAATGATAAAGTTTTTCAACAAGTACATTAAATTTCAGGTGCTGATGATACTAGTGATCTGGCAGCCTTAATCGTTCTCAGGAGAGATCATTGTTACTTGTTGTCAAGCAAAAATTAGGAAGCAGTTATGAATGGAGTCTACCTCAAACACCTTGGTTACCAGGAGAGACTTTAAGACAGGTATAGATTTATTCATACGATTTATTTATACTTCTGCTTCATTCTAATAATTGTTGTAACTTTTACCCCAATAGCCTAGAGTTCTCCTTTAATCACTTGAATCTATAATTACATTGCCAAATTCTATGTCATTCTACAGTAATTAAAGTAGTCATGATTGCTTATTTAGCTTTTTTTATTTTTATATCTCTCCTCATTGACTCTTATGTATCCTATAACCTTAAAAAAAGTTT